TCCTTCTTTCCTTTTCTTCCTCCCTCCCTTCTTCCTTCTTTCCTCCCCTTATTCTTCCTTTCTTCTTTCCTTCCTTCCTTCCCTCCTTCCTTTTTTCTTCCTCCCTCCCTCCCTCCCTCCCTCCCTCTCTCCCTCCCTTCCTATTTCTTGCTTTCTCTTCTCCTTTTGCTCCTCCGGGAGGGAAAACCAGCATTTATTTATTTTACTTTTTGATGGATGAATGTGAAATGTTATCAGAATGAGTCTCCGGGGAGGAATATCCAGCAATCATTATTTCCATTGCTTTCAAACACGGAGAAACATGAGGCCTGGATTAAGCGGAAAGAAAGCCCTTTGACGTGTGCGACATCTGTGAGCAGCCCTGGGTGGGAAGCGCGAAGACCCAGGCCCTGGTTCAACAGATGGGGCCGGCCTAACGGCATATCTCAGCTGCGGAGGGGTAAAAATTGGGAATTTAGTCACACTGGATGAGTCTCTGGTTCTCCCGCCACCCTTGTCACGTCGTATCAAATCTTGCCTTCCGCAAATTTCACCTGGAAAAAGCAACAACACCACAATTCACATAAAATTGCTGCTTCCCCCCCCCTCCCCCCGCCCTCCATTTCCAATGGAACGCAACCAGGGGAAGAAAGCCTGACCTCTTTCCATGGGTTAACAGAATGACACAGTTCGATGGGACCTTGAGGTCATCTAGTCCAACCCCCTGCTCAAATGGTTGTGCAATCTCTTCTGGAAGAAAATTGTTCCACTGATTAATGGTTCTATCAGGAAATTTCTCCTTAGTTCCAGGTTGCTTCTCTCCTTGATTACTTTCCATCCTTATTGCTTCTTGTCCTGCCTTCAAAGTGCTTTGGAGAAGAGCTTGACTCCCTCTTCTTTGGGGCAGCCCCTGAGATATTGGAACGCTGCTATCATGTCTCCCCTGGTTCTTCTTTTCATTAAAAGGCTGCTTCTCTAACTGGGCCCTGGAGTGTCAACCCAAATTTGCTGTCCTGTCATTTAAATCTGTTATTTTCTGCCCTGCCCTCTGGAATGAGAGCATCCATACATGGAGGCGGCTATAAAATGTCCAGGCGATGCCTTATAGGGTCAAAACAATCAAGATGGCGGCCACAGGGGCACAATTGAAAGCTTGCCCGTTGCTTTTATGAGTGTCAACAGGCGTAGTGAACACACGTGCCTGTGTAGCTTTGTGTGGGAAGCCCAGAGGAGCACGGAAAGTGGGACAGGTTTTAGGATCCCTTTTATTTTAACCATGGTTTAGACATCTTGGCCTCCTTCAAACTTTTTATATATTGTTTTTAATGTTTTATTGTACACTGTCCAGAGACCATCTCGGAGAGAGATTGGTAGTTTTAAAAAGTGATGAAAAGAAAGCAAGGAGGAGAAAGAAAGAAAGAAAGAAAGAAAGAAAGAAAGAAAGAAAGAAAGAAAGAAAGAAAGAAAGAAAGAAAGAAAGAAAGAAAGAAAGAAAGAAAGAAAGAAAGAAAGAAAGAAAGAAAGGAAGGAAGGAAGGAAGGAAGGAAGCAAGGAAGGAAGGAAGGAAGGAAGGAAGGAAGGAAGGAAGGAAGGAAGGAAGGAAGGAAGGGAGACAGAGACAGAGACAGAGAGACAGAGACAGAGAGACAGGGAGAGGAGGAGGAGGAGGAAGAAGAAGAAGAAGAAGAAGAAGAAGAGGAGGAGGAGGAGGAGGA